TTGCACATACGAGTTTAAACGGCAATATTCTTGTGATTTTAGATTTTCTTCRTTTCCTTAGTCTGTACATAGATCCGCAGACAGGCGTGAGCTCGCAGGTAAATCGTCGCTGTATCTGAACAGTTCATTAAATATAAAATCAAATAATTTATACCACGGTCACAGAATTACAGCATAATGTTTAATCAGTGATCGTATGATGAAAAATTAAATATTTAATTTTATGGGTCGCTAATTTTGACTTATCCGGTGCTAAGCACGCTCTATGTGCACCACCGCGTCATCACCCTGTGCCACCCTTATTGTGTGAATTCGGCGAATGTATTATAATAATATTCGCGTTCGCTATTTCAACTATAATTTTATCTCAAACCGTATACTGAGTACATAATATTGTAGTGAGTGGTATAAAATATGAACTCCACAGATCACACACTATCTAGCCACATTGCAGGTAGGTGTACAATTGTTTACATTTGCAATATGTATAAAATATTGAATAAATTTACTTCGCACGCACTTGTATTGTCGATCTAAAATATGTCACCACCGTGTTATTACAACCGTGCGATACGGAATCGTCAATACAATATTATTATTTTAAAATTAAATTAAATTTCAGCCACACATAATATGTTGACAGTTGCACTGGTGCTATAGGTATATTATAATATATAAATATCAAATATTATACATATATCATGTTTAAAATGTAACGCACATGGTGCGAAATACGCGTAGTGTGTAAACTAACCTGAATAACGTTAAATTACGTGAACAATGTGTAAAAATAGATATTATATAATATTATAATATGGTTTGCAGAKCATAAATTAGTTTTAAGTAAACGTATTTTATATGTCAATTCATTTTTTTCTAATCTAGCCSGTAATTTCTACGTTAACCATGACTAAGTTGGGGAAACACTTTGATGAGTGTATAATTTATAATTTATAAATTTATAATATTATGTTTTATATAWTATTATTTGTGTATTTATAATTTATGTACATATCGTTTACCTACGATTGCGAACGACGAGTATATTATTAATATAATGCGATTATTCTCCTGTTTTAGTACAGGGTTCACTGTCTGCGTGTAAGTAAATACGTATTCACGTGTGGTGTGTAACAAGAAAAGTTTAACGAACGTTATAATGAATTAACACGCGAAAAGCTCCACATTTACGTTTTACATCTATAAGCTACAACTCGTCTTTTGATTTCTAAATGTTCGCTAATGAATTCAACTCTATTATATTTGTATTGTTATATTATAGCTGYGCTACGCAAAATGCGTAATCGGATAATGTACGTATTAAAGTGAGCAACATATTAATATAATGTGAGTCGTGAGTTCAATATTTATTCGAATACGTCCTAAAGAAGACTATTATTTACTTWATAAATAATATCGTATATGTTTTGCAAATAAATTCGTAGTAATACAGTGAATAGAAAGTATCGTATACAAAGATGACAAATCTAATCAAATAAATAAATATACGGAATATATAGATTTAGTAATAATTTCTTCAATAAGTTGATCTTGTGACATAGATGATTTGAAATAGAGCTTTCAATATTCGTCTAATAACTTATACTACTGATGTGTAATATCTACWATTACAGAAGCTATTTCAAMATTTTTTAAATTTCAATGTTTCAAGAATAAATTACAATCCTTTACATTATAGAAGCAACATATATTTATATCCAATATGAATTAATAGAAACCGTAATTTTTGTAATAAACTGCTTGCTGTATTCAGGAGTTTGAGGATTAACGTTTTATTGATATTTAGTTCAATATTTATGTGTGCAATTTGATAATTCATTGTGTTTATTTTTAAACTCAATTGAAAAATACTAGTTGCACATTGTTTCGAAACCATATTATTGCGAAAAAAATTCCGACCAGCTTATGAAAATATGAAAAACTATACTCGCAATTTTCTGATAAAACCCCTCCTACTAACCTATCCTTTCTGAYGAGGGGGTGATGTTTAAATTCACTCYTCACACCACCACACTYTTAGCTTCCATCATAAATACCAACCCTTCCATCGCTATCCCAGGCTCACAAACACGAGGTGGTTGATTTGTTCCTAACGTGATCATATATATATATATACTACAAAACCTGAACATTTGTTTTGGACACATTCCAACAATCTATTTGTGCACATAACAAATTTGGTGACCAAACCACTGGGTCACTGGTCGGAAATCGATCGAACGGTACTATTAGGACACAATGCCAGAGCATTCAGCCAAGCGGAATCGAAATTATATATTTGTGCTGCACATTTTTTACACAAAAAAAAAACATCGTGTTTGATATAAAGAAGACAGACGAGGAACATACATTAAGAAATGTTATAAGTCTCGGATCAACTGCAGAAGTCCTATATATTATTATATTATACGTGAATATATATTGCGTCGTGACAAAAGTGGTGACTATTAACTTGGCACACAAAAACTTGCATTTTCAAGCGATAATCCTACATAATTATAATAATATTAAGAATGTAGTATTATGTTTACCTAGAACAATTATTATTTATTGATGTTCAATAACTGTGCCACAAACGTATAGTAACCGAATATAGTAAAGAATTGAACGCCGCGCGATTTAAGCGTAATACTAAATAGAAATTCTAGCGTCAATACCCGCAAGAATTGTCAGAAAATAGTCGGGCAATTGACAAGAAGACGCATTTAMCTGTTGTTTACTTACCTAATATCATGGGCAATGGTATATGGTGTTAGCGTGCATAAGTGTGCAAACAGATAAATATCGAACAAAATAACTGTGATGGTGACAAATGAGCACTCTGAATTAGGTACCATCGTAATTAAGTTGTAAGGAGGGGGAGGGGGCGTCGGACAAATGAAACTTTCTCGAAACCAGACCTAATTTCTATAAGATGAGTTTGTAGTTAAAACGTCAACGCCTTATAATATTAGACACCTAAGAAATCCAGTAACTTTCGGATTTTCACACATCAGGTAATTCTTATTAATCAATACTCGTGTGAAAATCTTGCGTAAATAACCTTTTTCTCTTAAATTCGAATAAATTGTATGGCCTAAAAATTGAAATAATTGATAAAACAAACAGGGACAAATGGACGCTGCCGTTTAGACGCAAAGGTAAAATTATATTATTTACTATATAATCTATTTGAAGCAGAAAATAGACCCCCTAAAAACCTATTTGTAATTTCCATGTTTAAATGACTTCACATCCGATTGATCACGTTCTGTCGGTTGTGTCCATTTTTCCTCAATCGATAGTAAAATTATCCATTATATTATGATAGTAAAAAAAAAATTTCAACTTTTTTTGTATTATTTATTTTTTACATTTTGTACTTCATAATAAAATTGAAAATATTTTCAAWAAWKKTT